CGGGCCTTTGTGTCGGGGAGCTGCCAGCCCCGTGGAGGGCTGGTTATAAGGGTAGCCGGGGGGCTATGTCAGTGGAGGGCTGAATTGGGCCAGCTGATTCCCACCAAGCCTATCCTAAAGGCAGCCATCCTTTCGGGGCCTGCGCCGTGGGGATTTCCTTGCCCTGGAAAAGGAAGAAGTCCGCTCTGATGATTGTTGCCGCTGGAAGGGGCCCATAGGAAGGGCAGAGTTGAGGTTATGGAGAGCGCTTGAATTCCGCTTTTCCCACCTTGCAGCGTAGGTGCAGTTTGTGTTCAGGAGGAAATTGAGTCCCTGCTGCTTCGGGCAGCAGTTGTAGGCCATAAGGATGGGATATAAAATGAGGCTTTCTCTCAACTTCTCTAGCATTTGCTCCCTTCTTAGCTCTCAGATGTACTGTCAGGAAGAGTCTGAGGCAGAGGGTTGCAGAGGGTTTTTCAGACAAGAGCTGTGAAGCGGAAAATGGTTATATCTTGGTATTCCTTTGCTGATATTTTTGGGTCTCTGGCTCGAGGGTTCAAAGCACCCATTTAGGCAGGAACGGCCTGGGGAAGAGAGTACAAGTAGCACTGCAGAGCTTGAAGGCAAAGTCCTAGGTGGCATGAGACATACCCACCTGCCTGGCCCTGCTGAGGCTTTTCCTTCATTAATACCTCCTTCCCATGAAGTCACCCAGGGTATGTTGAATTGAGGAGTGAAATCACTGTTCTCCACTGAGCGCCCGATCTTTCTTGGTCTCTTTAAGCATCCCCACTATGATGGTGGAATAAACTGGCATTTGAGGTTGGGTTTGCACCCCCTGATGAATTCGGCCCTGAATGGAAGGGACGATGTGGGTTGTGAAGAAGGTGGATTATATCTGCCTTCTCTGATCTAGATTCAAGCTTTGGTTTCCTTGCCACTCTGAAAAAACAGCAGTGCAGATCACCATAATTCACTTGGCATACCTGGGCCCGGGGGTATTTCCTTTCGTTTCCAAAATGTAAGCATGGTGGAGAATCACAGTGTCACCGCGGCTGTGCAGTTTGCCCGGGATGTGCCTTTCCAGGCCCGGGACTTACGCGGGTGGCAGCTCTGACCTCCTGCCCGTTGCGCCGGGAGCTCCTCATTCACGCCACGAACCGCCCTGACAGCCAAACCCTCCCCTTGCTGCCGCCTCCTTTAGCCTGCTGGCTAGCTCCTCGGGTTTTATGGCTTTTTCTATGCCATTTGGCTTCCAAGGTGCTATTCATTCACCCCCTGATATTTGGAGGTGCGTGCATACCCTCCCTCGTACAGGCTGGGTGGGCGCCGGGTGCCCTGCTGCTGCGGGGAGGACGAAGCCGGGGACAGAGGGGAGATGAGCTCCTCTGCCTCGCAGCCCGGCCGCGTCTCCATGGCCCTGCTGCCCTCGTAGCGCTGTAGGCAGCGTCGCAGCAAGGCCCCGGCTGGACAATGCTTTCTGACGTTTAATTTTTCTGTGTGTGTACGTGTGTGTGTTTGTCCTGGGTTGCCTTCCACTTATAGCATTTCATTCGGAAATGACACTAGGTATTTCTCGCGCACTTGCTCGGTCTGGTCCCTCCTGCTTTTCTCTCTTTCTCCTTTGCCTCGGTCCTTTGCTTTTTGCTCTTTTCCCCCTTACCCCTTATGCTCCTCTTTTCCTTCTCTTATATCTTCCCTTTGGAGCTCTTTCTTCTCTATCGATCTGTGTCTTCCAAGTGATCTTTTGTCTCTACTCCTTCTCATGCGGTTTTTGTGTATGCAACATGTTCTGAACCCGTGACTCTCGTTGTTCTTCAAATGTGGTGTCTCGAGTAGGGACGATCGCAGCTTATCAACAGGCACAGTCAAACCTCCTTTGCCAAGAGCCTCCCCCTGCTCCCCGGCGTCGCCTGACTCTGGAGCAGTCTAGGCTCTCGCTGAAGAGCTGTTTGACCTTGTTGATGCTGCGTATCGGCGAGCTGTGGTGACGTGTCTGTGTTGAGATGTCGCTGAGCCATGGCTTTTTGAGGATGCTCACACGGGAGCTGGGGAAGGCCTGAGGAGGGCGGCTCCGGTTGGTTTTTGAGCGTGGTTTTCCATAGTCCCTAGCTGAGACTGCAAGAGCGCTTCCCCAGCTTCCCTGGCCCAGGAGAGACCTTGGCAGCGGGAAGGGGAGCGAAGCTGGGGCTCAAGGAGGGCTCCCGTGTGCTGGAACTGGAGTTGCCTCCTGCTTCCTCCAGCCTGAATTTCTTGCCCCCAAGTTGCTGTGCTGCTCTGCATGACTGCGCCATCCTGTGCGGGACCCTGCAGACCCAGGCTCATGCCTAGCTCGTTCCTCCTGCTGGCCAAGTGGGGCTGAGTCTCCTCACCCCATCGCCCCTCCAGAAGTAGGTGCGGAGACACTGCCCTCCTTCACCAGGCCTGGGAGAGATGGAAAGGGCAGTCAGGAGAGCGAGGCACCCTTGGTCGGGATGGTGGTGGCAAGGGTGGTCAGGGCAGGGCAGGTAGGCTCGGGTGGTCTCTCTCGCTGCCTAGGAAGACAGCTCACCTTAGGCCTGGCTCCCAAGTAGCTCAGCTTGGGGTGGTCCCCGAGCCCTGCATCCACCCATTGGGGCTCCTACATGAAGGTGTTGAAGGGGTGAGCCAAGGAGAACGATGCCTCGCTCGCTGCAGGGCTGTACCCCGGCTGAGCTGCCCCAGGCCCGCTGCGAGGAAGGGTCCCTTGCACTGCTCTCCCAGGGGTGGGCTGACAGCAACGGCCCGTGCTGAGCATCCTCCCTCCTTTCTGTTCTGGCCATCGTCATCCGAATGGCGACAGCCACTCCTCGGGGGCCAGGAGGCATGTTGTGCTGTGGGCTGGAGGGCAGAGGCCTGACCTGGGAGTGCCGGGCGGGTGGCAGCTAGCAACACCCCCGCTGCGAGCACCGGGAACCCACTCCCTCCTCTGCCCCATGGGCTCTCACTCCCTCTCTCCCGGTTCTCCTCTGTCTTGCCCTGCACTCCAGCTGAGCATCCCTCTGCCAAATCTTCCCAACTCTTCTGCTCCTTGCGCAGTCCCTCCTCCTTAATCCCTCGAGCCGAATCCCCAGTTGGGTGGACACCTTGATGCTGGCTTTTGATCCTCGAGGATGCCGCATCCCTGCCCTGCTGCGCCTGTCCCGGGTTGGCTTTGCCTTGAGCCTGAGTCCTCGGGAGTGGCTGTCCCCATCTGTCCCCGTGCGTGTGCATGTCCATGTGTCCCTGCAGGCCTGCCGCAGTGCTACGGGGGGGATGGTGTCTCCTTGTTTGCTTGCCTGGGTTTTGGGGGTTGTTTTACCGGCTTTCTGTTTTTTCTTTGCAGGACTTTTTACCAGTTTGAAACAGCGTGGGACAGCTCCATGCACAACTCGTTGCTCCTCAACCGTGTTACCCCGTACCGAGAGAAAATCTACATCACTCTTTACGCGTACATCGAGGCAAGGTCTTCTGTGATTTTAAACAAACGGGATCTGGTGTCACTCCCACCATCAGGGGTGCAGCCAGGACAAGGCACTGATGTCAGTGGGGTGCAGGATTAGACCTGCCAGCGCTGG